TGGCTAGGAGGGGAGAGGGCTTACATAAGCTACCGTTACCCGGAGAAGTTGAAAACAACGCTGGCTTACCGCCTGGGGCCGTGGTTGCGGACACATGAGCGATGCCGTGGGTGTAGAGACCGTTGGCGGAGACCTCGAGCTCGTACTCGGTATTGGGCGTTAGCTTGTTCAGTGCGAGACTTCGAGCAGTTACTGGTAAGTAGCCATTTCGCACCAAACGACCACCCTCGGTTTCGGTGAGTTTGTAGGTGTAGGCCAGGATTTCCGGTTGAGTAGCAGGTGCTTCTTGAGTCCACTCGGCTCTGAGGCCGGTCGCACCCGTAACGGTCAATGTCACTTTCGGTGGAGTGATGGGCTTTTCTGAGGTAGGTACAAAAAATGACCATTAATATCGGAGAAGGGGAGAGAGCTGGTAAACAAAACTCTAAAAAGAACTTTTAAGGATGATGGTGATTGTCTGATGATGAGTGAAGAAGAAGGAGAATAAGAAGAGTATGGAGGAGAGATAAAGTGATAGATGTAAAGTGGAATTATGAAGAAAGGTGAGGAGAGTGATATGGGGATGGAGATATAATATATCCAATAGATGGAAAAAACAGCAGTAAGTATGGAGTGGGACTGACAAGGACAAGAGAGGCCCGAAAAGCCGTTTCAAGCTTATCAGCCGTCTGTAGACCACCATAACCAATCTCAGATATGGCGTCCCCCGAGATTTGAAACCCCGTTTTTATTGGTTTCACTTCATCATATTTTACAGGCCTCTATGCGACCGCCTGCAGTCCATAAAGACAGGCTGAAAGTTGATAGGAATATTTGGGTTGATGTTCATCAGCTCGGCAGTAAAAGTTTACGTCTTTCCCACGAGATCAGTTAAATATTCGGGGACTTGAATCGATGAGCTGATCCGATGTAGTTACAAATGGCGATCACTCGCGCTTTCTTATTTTCTCATAAATTATCCTCTAACTCGGATTTAATCCGTTTTTTGCAGTCTATAGGCACAGGCCGAAAGTTGAGAAGGAGAACCGGTAAACAGAACTTTTAAAAACATCTTATGGATGATTATTATGATTATTATTAAAAGCACAACGTTCGAAGTAACATTCTGCATTTTTCACTAGAAAAGGCGATCATTGTTGCTTTCCAATTTTCTCAGAAAGTATTCTCTAACTCGAAGTAAATCAATTATTTCTTTGCAGCCTTTAGGCGCGGACCGAAAACTATGAAGGATATTTCGACGGATAGTCATAAGCCACAGCTAGATAACCACGTCCTATTCAGTAAACTACCCACTGGCACTTATAAGCAGAAGTAGTCGTTAGTAGTATATATTGGTATTACATGATACATCATATTGGCCGCACCGGTGCCATCTAAGGCCCCAGCCACGTGTTTCGCCGGTATTCTGTTGCTGCATGGTAAAGCTGCGAGGGGTTCGGTTCATGAGCGGTTTCCCGGCATCTCCTAGTAGATACACCAGTTTAAAAATTGCTACTAATTCATTTCCTCAAGAATCGGTTACTAACTTGAAGAAACTCAGTCTATTCTACGTTCTAGAGGCGCACACTCCAAGCTGATATAAATATTGGAGATATATCGCAAATCAAACTTTGAAGAGGGAGGCCACGGATGGTCTTTGTACTGTGCGTAGAGCTACTGACGTAACATATAAAATTACCGCAAAGTAACGAAACATCTTTCATCGATCGGAAACTGGCTCAAATAAATAAACCGAATTTCAGTTTATCAAAAACAAAAAATGTCTAGGATGTTATGATGTTGCTCAGAAAAAAAAACACATTTTTCCCCTAGGAAAAATGAAGCGCCGTACACGGCCACGTAGCACGCAAGGCTAGCTATAATACATTATTGTTTTAGTTGGCAAGGCTTAGGAGAGAGAGAAGATAGTTTTCCATACTTATGTTAATGCATTAAAAAGACAACTTGTAGAAAAACACTCCGGAGGGTAAATTAAAATGTCGACGAGTCAAAGATCCGCAGAAAATTAACAAGTGGAACCTTTGGGTAGCCGTATGCCAAGTGCAGCCGCTAGGTTACTGACTACTTTTG